AGCGTAAATGTTGCGAGTCAACTCAGAGCAAGCCACGGGACGTAGAGAACTTTGCAGAGAATGTGATTTCTGTTCACAGTAAGACAACAACGAGCAAATGAATCACATCCTAGTTTCCTAGAACAAAACAAACTAAGGGCAACATGCCATCAGAATGATAAAGGGTATCAACGAGTACAAGGAACAGTAAAAAAAGGTCATAGTTCTCTGGCTATCACGATCAGCGTAGCCCACAGATCTCTGCCTCCATTCCTTTCCGCATGAAGTTAGTGCAATGGGCCCTGTCCTTTGTGCTGAAGTTAGCGCGCGGTGTTATCACTATGGATTCAAGCTTCTCAAACCGGTTCACATGTTATTCATTCACATAGAAAAAGGTACAGGACATGGTGGTGCCGCACTCAAGTGGAAAGCACTTATGTTGACGGCACCACTGAAATAAATACATATAATAAAGAAAAAACAAACGCAACTTTAAGACAGGCAAAACAGTGAATACAGGAAATTCAAGAGCGCAGTTCCGGTTCCCCACCCAATGATAAATGATGGCAAAGAGGACACAGTACATAGATAACAAAGGGGGAAATTGAAATCTTTTAAAAACGTTCTGATGTGGTGATAAAGTTTTGGGCAAGTAATAATATACAGGACTACCACGGAGTAGAAGGTCAGTTTTTGCGTTGTCAGAAAGAGTTGTAAAATCTAGGGTGCATGTGGGCGCGCTGTACGTTGTACCAAAACTATTTTCGCTGCCACATCCGAGTATCCAGGATCTAGAGCTACTACTGTAGCCTCTACGGTCTCCGTCCACATCCCAAAAGCTGTCAGGGATATGCCAGAACACGCACAACACTTGTTAGACGCTCAGCTGCTCTCCAATGCATTACAAACAAAGGCAGTAACTTTCTTTTGTCTAATTGCAGTTATTGAGGCCGGTGACACCACTACAGCGACATTTTAACTTATTTTTACAGCCTTTTGCGACTTGTGCTTTGTAATCATACGCGCGTTTTATCAGATTTTTTTGGCGTCAAGGTGTTTCCAGCAATCACAGAACAGAGTAGGCTAAATAGAGAGGAAGCGATAGGTCACACGACGTATTTTAAGTATGGAATTTAAGCTAGCTTTAATTGTTGTGTATATAAGCAAGTAGGTCTATGTGTTGTTGTATATAACTGTAGCTATTAAGTTAACCTTGTAATTGATTATATTTCATCTTTTAAATGTAATGTTAAAGGACTCCAGGAAGACTAGTAAACAAACATTGTATTACTAATGGAGATTCCTAATAAACACAAACATAAACATAAACACGACTCGATTAAATCCACCATTGTGATATTAACGCATAGGTGTCGTGAATCTGTACAAGGAGGTGGGTGTTTCACAGTTAGCATACCCACGAGACCACTTTAGGTTTGATAAACCGCCTGCTGCAAAGGGTGACTCGGGGACCAGGTTCTTTCCTATAGTCAGGAGCGATAAGTTTAACAACGCCGTAAAAAACAATCAGGTTTTTACGACATCGTGCCCATTTGCGGTAGATGCAGTCATTTGGATCGCCGGCAACATCCATTTCTATTGAATAATGGTCTTTCTATTCACTCTGGTAATCAATTCTGGGGCTTGGCAATGATTTACGTTCGCTTTCAGGAGAAATTACAGACTGTCCTGGCTAGCCAGCAATGCCATTATGGTCTTAAAAGGGGTAGGGAATTTTCCCGACCAGCCTCGTAACCCCTGCTTCTCCTACTGGGTCAGTTAGTCCTCACTACTTGTGAGGATGTTTCTGACTCAGGGAGAAGAGTTGCTGTTACAGTTCTATACCTCTAGCTCTATGCCTAGAAGTGGCCAAAAATTGGCCTTGCATTGAGCGACACCGTTAAAAAAATGCTGGAATCTATCCCTGCGCGGCTTCAGTAATGGAACACAATATCACCGCCAACATGCCTCTTATCCTTTCCAAAGGAGCTCTCAGGAGTTCAGTTGCCTTTCTTACTGCGGCTGTAATTTGCACTTAGATTGCAGTTGTATGATGTGGGCAATTAAAAACACGATTTACAGGCCGCCAGTGTGAGAGACTAGTGGACTATCGGCGCCGTGAGAGTGGTCCATCCAAACTAAGCGCTATCATCAATATAGGCAACCTGCGGGGTGATCTATATATACGATCGTGGGGAGACAACTTTACATGTTGAAAAAGCTTTGGACTTATCCTATAGATTCGTGTTAAACCTATACCTGTATCTATGCATTGTTCACAAAATGTGCATTGTTCACAACGTGTGTGGTGATCTATATATACGATCTTGGGGAGACAACTTTACATGTTGAAAAAGCTTTGGACTTATCCTACAGATTCGTGTTAAACCTATACCTATATCTATCCATTTTTTGTTCACAAAATGTATTGAGTAGCTACATGTATATATACGATCGTGGGGAGACAACTTTACATGTTGAAAAGCTTTGGAGTTATCCTACAGATTCGTGTTAAACCTATACCTATATCTATCCATTTTTGTTCACAAAATGTATTGAGTAGCTACATGTATATATACGATCGTGGGGAGACAACTTTACATGTTGAAAAGCTTTGGACTTATCCTATAGATTCGTGTTAAACCTATACCTGTATCTATGCCCTGTTCACAAAATGTATTGAGTATGCCTTTTCTCTATACAAAGACTATGTACAATCCATGTCACTGTACTGGTAGATGCCATTTCTCGCTACCATTGCATCTGATGATAGAGTTGTGTACTGTTATTCCGATATAACATTATAAGATTAAAAGAGATTATTAGGCTAAGTTGGGTTGTTCCAGCCGGATTAAGGGTTAATCGTTTGTTTTAACGTTCCGTGATTATCTTGTCTAACTACATATTACGTTGTATCTGACGTGACGAGAATGAAAATCATCGCCAACAATTAAATGATAGGTGCAGTTTTAAAGACCGGAGAAATATAATCACTACCGGTCCGTCAGTGTCATATGTTTGTGATAGAGTATGACATTATCTGTAACTATCTATACTAAACGTCGATGAAGGTTAAACATCCAGGTAATACGATACGCCAAAAAGCAGTTACTCAAGCAACTGGATATGCTTTTGGAAACGGTCAGGCGTTTCAGCTAGTATCCACTAGCTTTCGTCAGTGACTGAGAGACCAGAGGAGATAATAGTGATCTATACTAAATATCCTCGTTGAAATTGTATCATCATATGATGTAGACTCGGTAAACAGAGGCTTATGAATATGATAAGTAACTCTGGCCAAGGATCAGTAACCAGCAAAAATACAGTTCATTCATCAACGTGTGTAATGAATGCGTTGGTGCCGCCACACAAGGGAGCTACGGAGGTGATCAGCGCGGTAGAATTATGTGGGACCCGCACACATCCAACAACACTCGTCTTCAGTCACTGACAACATGCACTCTATAAAATTGAACACGGCAAGAAGTGGATTAAAACCTACTAAAGGAGACGGCTACATCGGTTTGCCTGCCTGCCAACCCACATTTATTATTTTTATTTTATTTTATTCACATGGATTTTTCAGCATTGGATAGGAAGCACTTGTTGTGCTTATGTAAATCCGCTGCTCATAAAACATAATACAAATGTAAACATAAAGATGACATAAAGTATAGCATTAACATAAAATAAAAGTGGCTGGCGCACCAATACCTAGCATAACATTATTGAGATTGGTCAAATCTTCCAGAGTGGTGGATATAGTTAAACACAATATCAAAGATACGGCAGTTGGTAGGGTAAGGGAGGCTGGGGCTACCTGTAAGAAGTAAAGTACATAATGTGGCGTCATTTACGTTGAGTGGGTCGGAAGGAAGTATGTTTTCAAGATGAAGGCAAGATATGGATAACAACATTTTGGTCCTTTCAGTATCATAACATTTGCAGTGTAATAAATAGTGTTCTGGTGTCTCATTTGGATGCCCACATTTGTACTCTCTCCAACCATTTGTGCTGACGAAGAACAGAGGCAGTCTGGTACACCTAAAGATGCGCATGCTGCAATTGGCCATGTCAACAACAGGAAAAAAACTCGAATAACAGGGGCTGGCTGGAAACCGTTTGGAACGTAATAATTTGTACAATTTTATGATGATACGGCTCAACGTACGTAACTGCTTGGATTTTGAATGGTGATCACAAATATCTAATGTGGTGATAAAACTTCAATGGAATGAACGACTTCTGATGTCTTTTCAAGAAAGCTTAGTCCGGCGATTTTTAAGGCAAGAAAGTTGATAAGTCTGCAACACACTTATAAAAATGTTTGGTAACACAAATCCATGACATGAGAATAAGAGTATATAGAATATAAAAGAAAAATCAACATCAAAACTTTGGAATATGAAACACGCGACAACAAGAGTTTAACTTATGAAATAGAGGGTGATGATCTAGGTGGGAGGATGTTGGTCTGTGCAGAAGCCCATCAACAAATAAAAACAGCGAAGAAATAAAACTCTTATATTATTGACATACATCGTTTTTATCCTAAGAACACAACAACAGCTTACATGTTAGTAGGGTTTCATAACACATTGCAACGCTGAAGGTATCTCTTTGGAATAGACGCTGTATCTATCTATATATATGATAAAGAAAGCTGAACTCGATATACGCCAATTGAAGTGAAAGAACACTATGCCAGGTGGATACAATTAAAAGCTATCTTAAGAGGATTAAAATTATCTCCAAATAGAAGGTATCAAACGTGATCAAATATCTCTAATACTGTCGGCGGCTGCCTGAAGAATTGATAATAGTTCTTCAACAAAAGAAGTCGATGATATGAAAAGGAATCTCCTGAGCATCTACTGGAATTTCAATATAAATGCTAACAATTCGTTCTGATTATCGCTAATGTTCCTTTGTTAGGAAACATCAATAACTAGGTTAAGCGTGAACTTTAGATAAACCATTGTCTATGTACAAAGGAGAACATCCAGTAAGAAATGACATACCGCTGACGAAGAGCCCAATCACCAACAGCACGTAGAGAAGCATCCTGCCGTTCCCCTGTCCCGACGCCAAATGCACTTGATCCGTGAAAGCAGCGGGGGTAATTTGACAGCAGATATGGGTATGAAATGCTATCTATGCGCGGCACAATGGCGCACAGCGGCCCTCATCATCTTTAACAGATGGCCGCCGACGTCATTCCCCAATACGCCACCGGCAATGCTCAATATTTCGGACAGTCCGTGAAAATTGCGGCGTGCTTCCCTCTTTTGTTGTTGCCACACGGTCTAAATTCTTCATGTGGCCTGCGGCAAGCAAGACGCTGGCTCGAAGGCAGACGATATCGGCTCGCCGCGGGACGATCTCGTCAGCCGTCGTCAACTGTCGTCTGCGAATCTAGCAATCAAACGAGTTGGCGGGAAATCCGCGGGAACGTGCAACGATCCTGTTGCACTGACTGAGAGTGACGTTGCAGTGCGTAGGTGAGAGGTACTCTGCTAGAGTGTTTGGTGGTGGTGGGTGTGAGCTACATACTGATGCAGTCTGCCCTGCTATCCCAGGTCCTGAGGGCCTGCTCTGGGGTAAGTCATGTGAAAACTCACGGCGCGATCCTGACACGCCAGGAATCGGTCAGGTGGTCGGGCGGTGTCGGCCAATGGGTGCCGCCGCGCTATTTCATCTTCCGGGGCGGTGATGAATGAGGCGCACTCTGCACCCAAACTAGCCCACAAATGTCAGCAGAAAATTAAAAACCCTCCGAGGCATTTATGACAATATGGCCCGCCTTACTCCTCCATACGTGCGCGTTCCTAGTTAAGCCCGGAAGAACAGGGGTTGCCGCGGCTTTTGGATGATGTTTCCGGCCCGTGAATGTTCAGCGGAACTAGTGCGGTTAGTCCCCGGGGACATTTTATGTGATCACGGCTGCCCCCATGCGCGGCCCGCCCCGTGAAGAGGGCGGCCAACCGAAGGTGATAACGACCTGATGAATAAATGGATACCGGCTCAGACCGGATAGAAAAAACTGATGACCTGTGACGACTGGCTCTGATGATAGATTTCTCACCGATCTCACAGTAAAGCCCAACATATCTACAGTATATACAAACATCTATTTTATAGACATACGTATAATTCAGCAGCTATTAGGTACATTATTGAGTTTATTGTGTTTGCAATTGTCTCCTGGTGTGAATTTACGGGTAAGGCCTTAATTGCATTCGCAAGTAGTTATTATGTATTTGTTAGAAGGGCGCCTGGGAGTGGGCGTGATTAAATGAGAACGATGTGTGTTTGTAGACAATACACTGGACTAGAAGTTGCGATACGACTTTCTCTAGAAGATAAAAAAGGCGAAGCTCGAAGCTGTCTCAGCGTATGTGGTTCATACCGTCGGTGTTTGGAATCTGTATTAACATAATTATTCTCACTAATAATATATGGATGACATGGCGCATTAAATTAAGGTTATAAGGTTATGATGATAAGGTTATCTTTGAGATCGCAGAAAAGGCTGATTTTGCTATTTGCTATGATATATGTCGGCCTGATATGATGCTATCATATACTACATGGGCAGAACTTGTGGTACACATACAGCACTACAGTGCATCAATATAACATTTTCACTAGATTGGACGTATGTATAACAACAACAATTGAGATCATTTTCATCTTCCGAGTTTGTCTAGAACAAAGCGATCCTTCCCGTCTTCCGCCAGTCGTATCTTGCAAATGATCCAATTACGAAAAAGGCAGGTATTCAATTTGGTTAATTAACCTGACATGAAGACGGATAGACGTCTAGATTTGACCGGACGTCAGTTTTCGGGGGCGAGGTGGTCCAATGGTGAAAGATTTTCAATGTGCAGGCAGATGTAGGGTTATTCTTTTTCGTGTATTTCGTTACAGTTTTAGACCTCTTTCTAGGAAAGAATTGAAAACACTTAAAGTGGACCCAAGTTCTGTTTTAAGATGAAAACATTAATCTCTAAGCAGATCTTTTGGTGCCTACAAGGTAGTATCTAATTTTCCAGACACTGGCTGGGCAGTATCCAATGTGTTTTATATCCAACCGGTTTGGCTGTACAAAAAAGAAAGCCCGACACCAGTACAAGAAAGACAGCGTGACTGGACAATGACTGGACTAGACAATTTCTACTTTTTGTTATTATCATTATCTATTAATGTTATTGGTTTCTTACTGTTTTTCCTTTATTATTATTATTACCATTATCATTATTTATTGTATCCCTATTTTACTGTTTGTATGTGACTGTTGTGTTTTGTTTGCAAAACAGGGCCCCATTGAAAAGAAGTGTCATCACTTAATGGGCCACCCTGTATAAAGATGACAGAAAATAAATAAAAATTAAAAATTAACGTCTAAAACACGTCAAGAATAAGCCTAAACATCTGCTTGGAGAGTATAAAATATCGCCTGTGTGAAAACTGGGCTTAACTTGGAATGAAAAACTGGGAACTTTGTGAAGTGTTTTTAGAGTTACGATTGTTGGCAAAATGTCCTGCCATTTCGCCAGACCATTCTCCGGCTTTATAGCCGTGAAATAGTGCTGTAGTTTTAGCCGTGCATTGTTGCAACCATCCCAGATATTAGGCCACAGCAAGTAATTTTTATGGATGACATCAGCGCGCGCATTAATTTTCGCCTGATTTTAGAAAAAAAAAGAAATTTTGTTGCCCTCTGACAGTGGTCAACATGCCGAAAATGGGCAAAGATGTCTGTTGCCATGCCGGGAGGCAGATAACTGAAGAGAGGAGACAAAAAAAGGCTCTGATTTAATGTTTTGTTTCTTACTTTTATGCAGTGATATGTGATGCTGGCTGTGTATATAATGTTCGCATTGAATAAAAACCATTTGTACAATGATTGAGTCAACATTTTAAAATGTAGGAACCTTGTTTTTTCGGCCCGCCTTGTTTTTTTCGCCCGCTCGCATTAGATTTGGAGTTGGAGGAGGATGTCATCCATAAAATTTACTTGTTGTGGCCTTAGAGATATAGAATAGCCTTTTCCGGTGAATTATGCTACGTTTACAATTACTGCTCGCTGACACATTTTACCGTAACCTTTCCTTGACTTTCTTGACGTCATGCTTTATCTCACGGTAGCGGTTATACTTAAAATTGAAGTACGTTTTCCAAAAAAGGTAATAGTACAATTCTACGAAGGGGGCATCACGCTAAATTCAGTAGGACCACGCGCCTACGTATACTATTACGCCAAATTCCTTATGGCCATTTTGCTACGAATTACTAGGATACAAAAACTTTCCTTTTGAATTATGGAATATCAAAATATCTTGCCTGCAGCTTACACGGAAAAGGGACATGCATCCATCCTTCTATATCATTATGATAACATGGGATTTTTATGAAAATCCCAAATTAGGAGGGTTGATTTCGCCATGTTCCAGGTCAACAGATGCAGACTGACTTGGAGCAGCCACTGGGAATCAAAGGACAGAAAATTAAGCATATCGTAAACTAGATCTGACGTTTGCCTATCTGTTATTGAAAAGGCTGTAGACCAGTGCTAGACTGTAGCTTCTTATTACGCAAGGTTCGATATTTTATTTGATATGTCGGGAGTCGACGCATACAAAACCCACATCGGACCATTAAGCAATTATTTGGCAGGCACCAAATTGAATTTGAGTATCTCTGGGGAGGATACGATGGTCGCAGAGTTAATGAAACTTCGGGGGAATATCAGGCCCAGTGATCGTTATCTGAACGCCAGGCAGATATTACAGACAGGTTCTGTGACGGGCATGTCATTAGGAATTTCTGTTAATTCATTTCAGCTTTATTATTCTACACATATTTGTTTGTTTGTTTGTTTGTTTGTTTGTTTGTTTGAGCCTTTATTTCAACTCGATCTGTAACTGTGTTACATGCTCTAATCGGCCACTATTTCGGCCGCTTTTCATAGAGGTCGAGCGTGGAGGAGTGTCAGGGGGTCATAACATAAATACTACTTGCTCACAAATGAAAACAAAGTAATAATTTTTATACACAAGGTAACTCACACAAAGTAAATAAATAAACAAAATGGCAATAACTAATAAATAACTCATAAGTCGTCGTGTCCAAAGTCGTCAAAGTCAAAGTCAGTTACGATACTAGCAGTCTTTTAAAGGTGCCAAGAGTAGGTGCTGCTCTAACATGCTGCGGAAGAGCGTTCCATACAAGAGAGCCAGAGTAGGCTAGGGATCTCCGGTATATTTCTCTTAATGGCATCGGTACCGCAAGGAGATCAGTCGCGCTTTGTCTGGTGCATGTGTAAACGGCCAAGGGAAACAGGACAGTCCTTGCAATGCTCCCTGACCAAATTAAGATGAAATAACAAGAGGGCATATTAATGAATACCAACAGAATAACGATAATAATAATTGTAACAAAACTGCTAATAACAATGATGATTATAACAAAAATTAACAATGGACAACAGACAATTGAAACAATACTAATAAGACAATAGTAATAACAATATAAAAATACACTAGCTCAGGAGTAGTAACAAGAAAAAACGCCTACAAATAATTCTATCACGGGCAAATTCAGAGGTCATTGGGTATTTCTGTTGAGAGTTGAATGGCAAGTAGGGATGCATTCCTAAATTTAACCCCAGCGAGGTCAAGTAAATTACAACCAACCCATTGCAAGCTCTAAACAAGAGTTCTGAGATCTCATACCTCCATGAAATACGGGCTTGCTTTGTCATACTTCATTTCAACATGTCCTCATTAATTATGCAAATAACCTCTACATTAACATAATATATTCATAGTGGTGCTAACCTTTAAGTAACTTATACATGTCACGAGGTATAAAATTAACATCATTCACCAATAAGGAGTCACAAAATGTTCACATTAATTATGCAAATTAGGTAACCATTTGCATCATTGGTATCTGTTGATGTTCCGCCTGCCACAGATTAAATAGATTTTTCATGGAGGTAAAAATGCCTTCAAATATGCAAATGGCGTCTTTTTATGATACACTGAGGAGGAATATATAAACAAACCAATAATGATTCAAATTACTATCAACTGCAAGTACCATAATGAGTTATTTTGAGTAGATCAATGATTCCTCTTTGATATACCATTCATTACTATATTACATTTGGGTACGTTAATCCTTTTGAGAGTACCACTAGAATTTCCCCAGCATTATATTTTTTTTAATCAACGTGACGCCGTATCTGTTTTATATTAAAATGTAAATATACGTCATATCATCATCGGGTAGATTTTTCAATTCCGCCTGCTAGTTTTGCTTCAGTTCATATTTCATTTATTTATTTTTTTTAATTTATTTATTTATCCAGGGGTAGCATATCGCCAAAGGCGGTTTTCGACGCTCCCTACACAGAACAATACATAATATAATAACAGAAAAAGTAAAAGAACTAACTTAGGTACAATCATAATCGTCGTGATAATAAAAGAAACAGGACAAACAATAATAACGTACAGAAAACAAACTAATAAATATGACAACTGATGTAAATGGTATTGATGATGGAACTGAAATTTGCATATCAATGTTTATGTACACAATGCAAAAAAAATAACAAAGAAATCATATTTATTTTCATAAAAACGTTAGCACGTTTTGGATACTCAGTATTGATGGATTGTTGCTACCGTTCAGTTGCCTTGCCTTTGTCATCCGTCTCTGGGTTTAACTTCAGATCATATCTTTACGTGTTCGTGACTGATTTAAACCGCCCACAGGCCACGACGTAATTACTGCAGACTTTGTATATAACAGCTTCCAGTTAAATCTTGGACTTTCAGCAACCTTACATCTAGATGGGATAATAGCCTAAACTATAGTATAGGAAAAAAAAGATGTAA